AGAGACAGAGCGCGTTCATTGGCAAGGTCGGCCTGTGATTGGTTGCATAGCGAGAATAAGTGATAACAGGTCTGATGACAAGGAAAGAACTCATTTTCATCTCTATAATTGTCCGTTTTTCGTTATATTTTATTATATTTAGGCCCTGTCCTAAGATCGCAAATGCACCAGAGGATGACCAAATGTCTACTATCGTTTTGCGAAAACTTCTAATCTTCTGTCCGTTCTTGTTCCAAATTCCTCATTAGTGGAAACTTAAAAAGTGTCTTGGCAAATGCATTAAGTTTAATAGAGATTTTTTTCGGCGTCCACGTAGGCCACACATTCCTGGTCCACGCAAAATGCAAAGATATTGCTAACAAATACTAAAAGGGCTGTGGGTGGAATTGCTATCGGAGAGGGATAAATTGGGAAGTAAAAGCCCCTACCAGTGCAATTTTCAGGCCCGATTCTTTGTAGAAAGGAGAAAGGGGAAGACGCAAGTGACATGGAATAGTTTATCTTTACAGAAGTGTAAAATGGTTTGGAGGAAATTGACTGTCAAACAAGTATAGGTCTGACTCGAGCAGGGTCACGTCCGAAGTGTCCGAGCCTGGCAGTCATGACAAGCGTTCACAAAGCGACCTTTGTATGACTCAGTCTTGGGCGTGATTGGCCAGGCCATGGAAGGAAGGCAAAGGCATTTGCGCACGTAAACAACGGTGAGACGTCGAAGATAAATGCGGGTTGTGGCATCTATGATCGGCTGTCCCACGGGTGGATCGAGATTTGCCGGAGGTTGAGTCACTTCAGTGCCACTGAAGGCATTTTAAGAAGGAACTATTCCAGCCTGACTTTCCGCAATGAGTGGAAAACCGAATTATCAGCTCAAGTTACGGCTTTAAACACTCTCTGATAAATACATGCATGGCAAACAGGTTCCAGTGAAGAATATGCGCTGAGAAGGTCAAACCATGCTCTATTTCTTCTCCGAAGCATCAGACCACTGCCCAAGATGGTCAGTCAACTGATTCGGAGAGTTGGCACAGAACGTACCAGAGCTTAACCATCCGTACGCACGCGTCGCACACCCACAACTTGACCCCAAATAAACACGAGAATGGACTGGGAGGCTCATACCTCACACGCGTAAGAGAACACAATCAGAGTACGACATGTCATATCACACAGTAGGAAGATTTAAAGCGCAGCACTGGAAGGACCAATGAAGAGGATGGTTCCTGCCAACACCTCGTCGAAGGACTGCCCCGTCCAAAAGTTGACAAAGAAAAGGACCTCGGTGTTCTTTCACATCGACGAGGAACTCTTAAGAAAAGAATAAGGCGTATTTGTTCGGTCCCACTTGGAGTATACCGTCCAGATCTGGTGTCCTTGGTTTAAGAACGAGTGTACACGAGGGCTACGAAGATGACCAATACTCTCGGTCGTCTGATTTACCAAGCCAGGTTGACTGAACTAGATTTATTTACTCTCAATTACAGGCAATTACGTGGTGACCTTATTCGAACCTATCGAATTTTCAGAGGCCGTGAGTGCGCCCTAGAATTTGATGACTTCTTCGAATTAGCTCGGACGGATCATCTTGTGGTCAGGCCTTTAAACTGCCAAGGAAGTTGGGCCATAATTACTTTCGACAGAACACCTCACAGAGGGTCATTGGAGCGTGGAACTGACTCCCTAACGAGGTGGCCCTTTTAGAAACTGACGAGATACTGAAATGCATAGTCGATTCTCAATTGGTGAGAAATTGTGGTACATATAATGAGCATTGTGTCAGTAACGGCAGTTTTCGACTGGCTCACACATATCGCTGATATTAATTCTGTGTTTTGTTATATGTGCTG